TTGTGCGGAAGTGGTCTACGAAGACATTGGCAAGACGGTTTCTCACTACGGTGGTCTCCGAATCACAGCCAGTCAGGCCATCGAGTACGCGGCATGGGGAAAGGCCAAACAGTTGGCATGGGACAGAGGATACGATTCCGAAGGCAAGACATGCTACATCTGCTACTACGATGCCGGGAACTGCGCTTATGCTGGTTTCATGAGAATGCTTTTGACTCCGGAGGAGCGCCAAGAATGCTACAGAGGGTCAGCCTTGCCCAAGGAGGAACTCCTGGGTGACACGGTGGAGCTGGCACTCGGGCTTCTTACAATTGCAATGAGACACCCAAGTCATTTTCCAAATTGGGGTGGCCTTGAGGGGGCAAATGCGTGCGTGAGGGGGATCGAAAGGTCATTCTTCCGCTACGCGTCGGCCGAAGCTATCGAACTGATCACGGTTGACTCCCCGCGTAAGAGGACACCGCCCAAGAAGAATGAACAAGTCGCTGAGATCGTCAACAACATGTCCGCTGACCTCGTGATTGACTTCACAGTGATCGTCGATGGCGATATCTACCCCGTAGAAATTGCAAGGACCGACGAGACACAGGCCGCTGACAACGTCACGGACGATCCAGGGGTCTCTGTTGCTCCACCAATACCTGCACAGGATGTAGATGTGGATGCACAACCCGAAGAAGAACAAGGTGCAGAAGACCCTGATCCCAGGCAGATGATTCGTGAAGGATTTGTCGCGCAGCTTCAGGACTATGTGGGAGTACTCGCTCAGGGCGAAATGTCGGTCGGAAGCGATAGCCTCACGTTCTGTATCGCTTGTGGCAGTGATCAACACCATCTGTCCAATTGCACGGAAAATGCTGCGACCCGGGATCTGATACTTCGAAGCATCCAGATCATCAAGGAAAGCCTTCTTCGATATCCACGTCGAATACCTCCACAGCAAGATGAGCCAATGGACGTTGACACCACAGACCATGTGAGTGTTGCATCCTCGGACCGACGACCCAAGGCCAAAGCCCGACCGCGACGCGGAGGCGAAGCCGTACGGGGTGATGTGGTCTTGATCCGTTACGAGAACAAACACAATCTCTGCACGGATGTGGAGAACCGTCGGGGCTTACATGATGCTTGTGGTGTACCACTGCAGGACATGGGACCAGAGAACAGCCAGCGGGTGGTGGACCTCATTGAGCAGCTTTCGGACCATCGCGACCGACGCCTACCTCAACGAGGAGACCGTCCTAGCTTTGAATATGATGATACTATTCAGGGCTACACCAATGCAGGCTACGAATGCATCGGCGGCGGAAGGCCAATCCGATGCGGGATTCTCGACCTGATCCCAACCAAGGGTGCAAGCTTCATCCACAATCGATGGGACATCGTGAACGAAGTTGTCCTTCGCAACATCACCCATCATCGAAGAAGGAACGCGGATTGGGCGCTATCATGCATTCAATCTGACCTGCGTCACAGAATCGCCAGGCGCCCAGGCTCGGAATGGCTTGACAACAGGTGCCAGGTGGCATTCAGCAGCGTCATTCGATGTGATGAAGGAGGGTGGGTGCTGATCGAGGATTTGGTGAGGCATGAGCAACTATGGACCCATGACAGCAGACGCATCACAGAAGCGGTCTCAAGGACCGATGATCAACAGAGGAAGAGAGTGTACAATGAAAGACTCCAGCTATTGTTCCAAGGGAACATGCTCGCAGCCACGAGACGCCACAAGGCCAAGATTCGGCTGCAGTTCCTGGGAGTGAGAGTGAAGGACCCCGGCACGGAGACTCTTGGATCAGCAGGCTCGAACATGTTGGTATCGATTCCTGACCAGATCACAGAGATCCAGAACAATGATCGTTGCCGGCACAGCCAGAGGTACCTGAACGTTTGCAACGGCTGGGTGAAGCCATGGGCAGTTCGGGCTACGAGTGGTCACTCTGCGCACTCAGATCCCCAGAACAATTTGCTTCAGTTGGACAAGAACAGGTTCGCAATATCTCCATCTATGACCCTCTTGCAACGTCTTGGAGGCGCGTTCCACGCTACGGCATGCCGCAACTTGGATTCCATTGTCACGCAAGGCATCATGCCTGGTTCGGAGGACCCCGACGGGGACTTCGACCATAGGCGCCAATTTCGAGGCAACCAAGGCGGCAGACTCCACAGCTATTGGGGGGTGTTTGCACCGTTCGATCACCGGAATGCGACGACCAAGATGCGGGTACATGGACGAGATGCCAAGCACATGCCACTGGCGGTCCTCCATGTCCCATCGCAGGACCTTGCACGAGAAGATGGACGTATCACAGACAGCGGCATCATGATCGTTGGCCGAACGATACCGTTCCAGTTCGTCAAGGAGGTATGGTTTTGCGTCCCGAATCCTCAAGATACACACTCTTTCGCTCTGGTGGAAAAGATCTACGATGAACGGTTGGAGAAAGAGATGGTGTTGGACTACAATGCATCACCTTTGCTCCTGAGTTCGAGAGATACCGAACACCAAGCAAGATCATGGAATTGCTTTGCGAGATGCCTCCTGGACCCCACGACACCAGCAAGGAGCAGATCATTCGAGACCTTACGACTGTCCTGGAGTCCCACAGGGAGAACACGGTTCGGCATCACTACATGGACAAAGGGATCAAGTTTTTCATCAAGAATTGGCGACCCGAAGACCTACGCAGAGACGAGGATGGAAGGAGAATGAGGGTGTGCCCGGCATGCTACAACATCGTTCCAGCATGCTTCTCCCGATGCACGTCCTGCTGGTCACAATTCGTTTCTTGCGGATACTACCAAGGGTCTCCACAACGGGAGACTCCTACGGAGATCCCCAGTGACTTCATTGCTCAAACAATGGAAGCTGCGGCAGCAGCAGTGCCTGAGGCGACCGTCGAGGAGCAGGAAGCCATGGAGATAGAGACCGTTGCGGAACCTGAGGAAATCCCAGAACCATCTGTCATCGCGGAGGACGATCCAGAACAGGAACCTGATGAAGAAATGGACACAGAGCCAGGAGAGGACTTTGATGACGCAGTACCAGATGCAGTTGCACAGGAACGACGTCCCGTCCTCATCGCCGGCCAGTCTTTGAACATCGATCCTGAACTACAACTCGCACGTACCGCCATGCAGCCATCCTACTATTCAGGAAAGCGAAATGCCCATTGCATCGACGCCAACATGGCCGCTCTTTCGTATATGGCATTCGTGGTATGCAGAACCATCTACAAGGCTTGGTCAGGATTCGCGAAGTGGGCGACTATGCCGTTGTTCCAGATGAAGGAGAATTTCGCACTTGGCCAACGCTATGATGTGCTCGGAAAATGGGGATCTTTGGCTGTAGTGGACAGAGAGACGGGTGTGAGCAGGGATGTGACTGACGAGGAGATCATTCGCTTTGCCAAGGAGCCTGAGAACCTCAAGCAGTACGATCCCAACGGGACTTACACTTTGAAGCGCTTCCGGACGAATCAGATGCTTTCGTTGCTTACACGGGGAGCCAACATGATGGGAATTGGCAGGGACAACTTCAACCCTACTACGTACTTGAAGAGCAACAGGGATGAAGATGTGAAGGCTATGCACTTCTGTTGCCTGAACGTCCTGTGCGAGGTGATTCCGATGGTGACAGGACACCAACAATTCTCAGTGCTACGACCAACGCCAACTGGACCGGTGGACTTCCTGTACATCGACCCCGTCGGTATCCTGCTGACTCATGCCGATCATTCAGTCCAGACCATTGGATTGCTGGTGGATCACAATGTGCAAATGCCTGCGCATTTCATGGACAGATTGGTCAGATCCAAGGCTGAGAGACAGCAAAATCCGACAACCAAACGTACTGAAGCCCTACATCACATCTCGGCCGCTGATTATCTCCCTCCAGGTGGTACTTCCATCCTGGACACGCCTGTCACTACGGAGGAACGTGCAAGCGCTTCTTCGGCCAAGGGACCTTCAAAAGGGCGTGAGAGAACCGGAGGTGAGCAGCATGGAGGTTGGAACTCCAATTCCTACTACGACTACACCGCCGGTAAAGGCCGAAACAAAGGCAAGGACAAAGGAAAGCAAAGGGAACAGTATCCAGAGGAAAACCTCCGGCCCTGGGACCGCGATCCTGCGACCACGCGAAGATGGAGATGAATCAACGCTTGGTCTACCTCGTCTTTCAGTTCGTGACCTCTGAGCTTCGCCCGTGGAATGCCATCGCGAATGCTTCTTTCTTCGGTGACGCCTGATTCGTTTGCCATTTCAGGGGATCGTTACTGACGTAGATGAGTGTCACAACGTTTCTAATTGGGATGCAAAGCTCTGATTTTCAATGTCAACGTTGCGGCGGAACATTTTCTGTTGTCCTATCGTGCCATCTTCCGGGTGAGCAGCGTCGGAGACGCAACTCATGGGGGGTGCGAACGGACTGCGATGCCTTGTCAAGTTCTAAGGTGTCACTATAAGAGCTGTGAGCAAGACCATGTAAAGTGCAAGGGAAGGGGGCACGCTACGCGTCCCTCGACTCTAAGGGGGCACGCTACGCGTCCCTCGACTCTAGGAGTAAGCTTGTGGACGTGCTGCGCACACCGCATCGCTTCTCCTTATCTTTCTATGTGACCGCCCACGCAACGTTTGGCTCAAGTCAATGCCCATAGCTAAGTGCTATATGTGTCTTCTATCCTGAGCAATCAGAGCTATCCCGTGCACAGACGAACCGCCGCCGGCAGCGAGTGCAAAAGGGACGGCCGCCGGTTCTGCCTGCATAGGATCGCACGTGTGGAAGTGTGAGAGAGATAGGGTCCCAGTCTGTGGAGAGTGCAAGCCAGCCACACCTACATTCATTACAGCTCTGGTGGGGAGAGCAGCAACACAATCGAGATCAAATCCCCACGCACTTTAAGTAGGGTTTCGCGGTAAGTGACGGCTCCTCCTGCTGCAGTGTAGCTTGATAGAAGCCCCGAAGCCACCAAATACACAAGATCTGGAATGCGCTCAAGGCAGACATGGAGCGCACCTTGGAAGAGGCCAGACGAGTTCATCAACTCTTTCCAGGATTGCGCAGGTTGGTTACAGCAGTGCATGGAACAAAAGGTCTCCGGAAGTGGACAAAGTCAGACGCCTGTACAACCCCCAGGGAGGAAGATCGCAGCAGTAAACAAAGATCAGCTAGTGCATATGTTTCTGAGCAAGCGGGTGGAGCAACTCTCCCCAAGCTTCGCTATGGCTGATTGACCTTGCAAGGCTGTAGATCAGCATCGCTCGAATCATGTGCATCATCGCTGCATCCATCATCTTGCCACCACCACCTGCATAGTCACCAGAATCATCATCTCCGTCAGTATCATCATTGCCAGCATCACCACCGTCATACTGTGCCGTCATCATTTCCGATACTATACCACAACTTCATTCTGCTCACCGTAAGCATGATCGTAATCATACTCACCACCGCCCCATAGACTTCCGATGCCCAGAAGACTTCCGTGCTTCCAGCAAAAGGACATAAGCATAAGCATGTTATAGGGATATCCCCACCTTATTGGGCTTCATTATAAGAGGGTGTACATGGGATGCCCCCTCACTATTGCTTATGTGGTTGTTTGGGGCCCTACACAGGTGTTGTCAACGCTTCACGAGATGGATGCTGCAGCCGACCTGGACGACTCGTAGTAGAAACGAAAGTAAGAAAATTGCCGGTGGCAATACGTCTGGATGTAGATAACTCGGGATGATGGTGTCCATGTCACTGGAGTGGGTCGGCATCCACCAATCCAGACAAGTGCCTAGATGGAGGAGATACCTTTGATTGCTTGTGTGTATGCTGACTGTCACCAGCCTCACATGCCATGGTTGCAGAAACCAGAGGACCTGTTTCTGACACGAAAGCCCTGGTCATGCCAAGGTCCTTCCTGAGCTGGGGGATGAATTGCAATTGGCCGGAGCCCGACGCTGCAGGGGTCCTCTCCCGGTTTCGGTAGTAGTAGTAGTAGTAGTAGTAGTAGTAGTAGTAGTAGTAGTAGCAGCAGCAGCAGAAGCAGTAGTAGTAGCAGCAGCAGGGGTAGTAGTAGTAGCAGCAGCAGCAGAAGCAGTAGTAGTAGCAGCAGCAGGAGCAGTAGTAGTAGTAGTAGTAGTAGTAGTAGTAGTAGTAGTAGTAGTAGTAGTAGTAGTAGTGGTAGTAGTGGTAGTAGTGGTAGTAGTGGTAGTAGTGGTGGTAGTAGAAGTAGACGTGGGAGTAGATGTAGTAGTAGTAGCAGCAGTAGTAGTGGTAGTAGTAGTAGTAGTGGTGGTAGTAGTAGTAGTAGTGCTAGTAGTAGCAGTAGCCGTAGCAGTAGCAGTAGCAGTAGCAGTAGCAGGAGCAGGAGCAGGAGTAGGAGCAGGAGCAGGAGCAGTGGTAGGAGTAGGAGTAGTAGGAGTAGTAGGAGCAGTAGGAGTGGTAGGAGTAGTAGAAGTAGTTGGTAGTACAGCATTAGTCGGGCGCGGGATTTAGGACGTACCTTGGTTTTACTTACAATACAAGGGTTTCTGGTGTTTGAAAGCGATTCTTTACCGGAATCGGGTGTTTACCATAAGATCAGGTGGTAAAGCTGAAACATGTAGGCCCCGCGCCCGGCATAGGTGTGTTTGGTAAGTCTTAAGTGCCGTGTCATTGGTCAGTTGTTTGGGTTTCAGGGGTGAGAGTTTGAGAAATGTGCCCAGCATCCAGGACCGTCTTAAATATTCGGCCGTATTGGAGAGCCGAAGAACAGGTAATTCGGTAGGATTGCAAACATAAAGAAGCAACAGAAAGACTTTGTCAGAGCAGAGCTTGTGTGGAGAGTCTGTAAGGACCCGAGTAAGGGGGGAACTACAAGGAAATCGGCACTCTGTAGATTCTCGCAGTCAAAGAGGGGGCGTCTTGAATCCCGAGCCCGCCTAGCATTGTAGTGGTATGGTAGTGGAGTAATCTAATAGTATAGTAGTATAGTAGTATGCTAGTATAGTCGTAGAGTAGTAAAGTAGCAGAGTAATAGAGCAGTAGAGCAGTATAGTATAAAGAAGCGGGTTGCATTGCATTCCAGCAGCTGGGTTTGGGTTATCCCCAACCTCAAACCCTAAACCCAGCTTTGGGGTGTATAAAGTTGGCTTTAAGGTTTAAGGTTTAGGATCACCCTTACGTAATCCTGAACCCTAAACCAGAAGTCCGCAGAACCGCAAGAGCACCCGGCAGTGGTGGAGTTCTTAAATTTCAAACCCAGAACCCTCAACACTAGACCTTAGGGGCAACTTTCGTTGCTTTTTGAGCAGAAGCCTTTCTTGTCAAGCTGTGTGCTCTGCACCAACTTCACCTTTTGGGGATTAGGACTTAATACGATTTAGACTAACTTTCGTATCGCCAGATCATGCAGTGGGTTTTCATGTCTCGTTCACCGCAGGGGGGGTGGTGCTCTCGCGCCATGGCGTCGTCGCATTGGTATGGACATTTCTGCTCTTGGCTTCGCAGTGCAAGCTCCTCTCACTCAGCGCCGGAGGTGACGCAGCAAGACGGTGAGGCTGAGAGGACCGTCAGCTTCTCACCTAATGATGTGGGGCTTCCCAATCTGAGCAATTCCTACATGTTCCAGACGGGGAAAGCGGAAGCGTAGCCGCACAGCCTTGCGCCCTTCAAAAAGTCTTGGAGTGGTGTTGAACTTCCAGGGGTCGAAGCCTTGGCTGCTTTGGGGGACGAGGTTGGACTCAGCATGAAACTCGTCTTAAGTCCTTATGCAAGAGTAAACAGCATCGAACAGTACATGGTTCAGCACACTCCCAAAGCTAGGGGGGAATCCACTTGTTACATAGAACCCGCACCGAAGTGCTCGCTGGTCCCACCAGGCAAAGCTTCCGGCGCTGCTTCCTTTTGCCGATTTTCTACGACTGAGGGCGGCTTGCAAGCAGTACGCCCGGCACTGGGCATTTGATGAGTTACTGAAGGTGCGCTTCCCGAAGGAGATGCTGCAAACGGCCAGAGGGTGCCTTTCAGTGTTCGACCTCGAGGAGCGGTTTCCATCGCCAGAGAAGAAGATGGCCATGGCCTTGGCACACAAAGCCAACAACCCAGAGACCTGGTGGCGTGATCGACTTCATGCACCCTGGCCCAAGTCCATTCCCAAGTACAAGAACACAAACAGCCGCAAGGGAGACAAGGGCTTCTGTTGCCCACGTGATAGGGCTCGCTACCACAGCACGTCTTTTCTGGGCTACATCATGAAAGGGAATGGCTTTCTTTTCCAATATGATGAGAGCTTCAATACACTTCGCCGAGAGAGGTTTTATCAGATCAGGCGTCGAGATGGTCACTGGACTTCCAAATGGGCCCAGTCCTTGCTTTGGGGTCTCGGAAACATGGAAATCTGCTGCCTCCGCGAGTGCGGACAAGATGCGGAAGACAGCAGCCTCCACCAGCTGGTGGACTCGAACTGTTGCATGCCCTCCACATACGACGAGCACGAATTCGTGGTTCCACACTGCTACTAAGATTGAATTGCCACCGCGGAGACGGTGAACATCATTTCAAAATGGGCACGGCCTCTCTGGGTTTTTGTGTCTCTGCTGAGCAACCATCACAATGACCCATCTTAGTATTGTCGGCGAACATAGTTGCTAGCCTTCTCATAGGCCCTCACTGGCCGGGCAAATCTAAACAATGCAATAGTAGTCTTCCAAAAGGCTGGGCTTGGAAGTTCTTGCCTATCCCTGTGCTGCTGTAGAATTCCGTAAACGTTCATTGGACTCCCTGATTTCGTGAACCCTGCGCCTACGCCCTTATCCCCGAGCAGTCCAAAGTGGCATTACAGGAGCCGACTCTCTACTATAGGGGCCTAAACAATTACCTATGCTATTTTTTGGGGGGGTCCTTTTTATAAGTAATATAAATATAACATAACGGGCACCAGATATTACGGGTTGTAGGCTTGGGGCTGAGGGCTTGGAAGGTTTTGCCCAAGCAGTAGTATCCTTGCCTGCACATACCACACAAGTCCAGGCAAGATATCTTTTTGGAGGTTAGCAGATGCAGACTTGTTGAAGTCTACAACTGCCTGGCTGCATATGGGAGTTTCCGAAAAATAAGGGGGTTACCTTACTTTGGGCGTCCTTATAACAAGGATCCTACGATTTAGGGTACCATATCAGGGTCCCCCATTTTCGGAAACTCCCATATGCCAACAGAGCAAGGCCAGGATTGAAGCACATGCCATGTTGAGCTAGGCATTTGCGTGTAGCAGCACCGCCAGACTGGGGTAGACAGCATGTGATAGTTTAGTACAAAAAGGAAGGAGAGTATATAGTCTATCAATCTATTTATGCTGTCTAGGTGTCGGAATCAAGACGGGCTGAATTTTGCATGTACCTGAATGGAGTTCGACCTTGGTGTCCCTTCACTGGTCGCGATCCTCTCTGCGGTAAGATGTTCCTAAGCCGCCGATTACCGGCAGCGAAAGGAGTGAATACGTAGTTATTACAGTTTGGTATAGTATATAACATAAACTAATGAAGGTCGTTCGAAACCCTTCACCGACTATGCGTCCAGCATGCGACAACGATCCGCCTGCCCCCGAAGTGCATCAGGAAAATCCGGTGGTGCTTTTCAGTGGTTGGGAACCTCAGCGCATGATCAACGCCGTGAGGCGAGCCAGTCCGGTTCGTGAGGGTTGATGATGTAGAAGGCGAGCAACAAGAAGACATAGTGTCTCGGGGCATGGTATACAATTTTGCGTGACACCTTGTCGCACTTGAGCCGAATGGCTTCCACAACCCAAAGAAAGTTCTGCAAGTGACGGCAGCATCGGCCACACAACCCAAAACGGTTCAACCTTAGACTCAACGTGGTAGGTCAGATACCAAGGGTTCCAGTCGGTGCAAATGCAAGCCGCAAGGTTTGCGAGATTCCTTTCTGGGGCTGAAGGTTGAAGTTTCTACAGGGAGGGGCGGAAGGATGGAGTAGATGGATGTATCCAAGGTGGTGGGTTGAAATTGATGCAGAGTCGGCTTAGCAGATCGGGCAGCTCGTCACGTGTATATGCAGTCGCAGACGGCATTTGAGTAAATGGTTGTGGATGTCTCGTGCTCGCCCCCATTGTCCATGTATGGGACCGGGGACGATGGATCTAGTCGCTGTGTTTCGTGTAGGTTCGTTTGCCGAAGCAGTGTGAAACATGAAATCGCCAAGCCCGTACTCTGTTATTGATATTCCAGGTCGGTTGATAGCTTGTCGTTGTCGCGACATCGAAATCCATATGCCCACGGAAATGTCAAGTCAGAAATCCTCATGCAGAACTCTTTCCCCTACATGCAAACCGTCAGTGGCTCCTCTTGTTATGCTTCCGTGGGATGCCAGCAGGCAGCTTCGCTCGCTCGTCGCTTTGCGCAAGGCTGCATGGACTCAACACTCTGCTGGTCCTGGGCATTGTAACTTGTTAACTAATCCTTATTGAACGTTTGACAGAAGCTGCTGCTGCTGATATTGTTAAGGCCCCTTTTGTGTGCGCAAGGTGCATCGGGAGCCCATGTCTGCGATGGTCGTGGCCTCAGCCGCATTGCAAATGACATGTTCGCAGAACATCGAGTGACTGTGAGTTTGTCATCGAGCCAGAAGCATAGCATGTGCGAGCTGCAGTATTTGTGGAGATGTGCCCTGTGGCGCGTTTAGACACGAGTGGCAGACGCCTCAGCCACCGTGGCCTGCGAAATTAGAGCTTCTCGAAAGCTGGGTTTACCACTCCGATGTGCGCTCCCCTCGCCCACCATAGCATGCAAGCAACCGCATCCCGAGAAGCCCCGAAACAAGAGTTGCTTGCAAAGTCCTAAAGTCCTAAAGCCTACGCTGAATCAAGAGGTCGTCCCCCGTGCCATGCCCAAGAAGATGAGCCAACTCGTAGATGAGCGCGCTCCTGAGTTGTCACACGGTTTTGCTTTCTGGCTTGCAAGATGTGGGTGTCCGGGAGAAGTAGGGTTTTAGAGTGTAGAGCCCGGCTTTGGGCGGTTGATTGGGGCTCGATTTCAGGTTTGTCGGCATCGATCCGTGTGCAAGCTTTCCCGGTTTGTCAGTCACCCCGGGACCAAAGACAGAGCTTTGATTCAGTTCAGTGTTCTTTAATTCGTTTTCGTGGCTGTAAGTGATCAACCGTCACAGTCCCAGTCATGCCTTTAAAGTCAAAGCCCTGCTGGCCAAGCCCACTTCGAAACAAACCTGCCCACGAAGGATACGCGGTGATTTCGAGCTGAACAGGCGAGCTACGTGAGGTCTTGCGAAAAGAGACGTCACCTCGCCAACGGTGTTTCGGGCTTGTTGGAAAGAGCCGTTGCCGCACGCCATTGCTGTTGACTTTCAAGACAGCTACGGCTTGCAACCATGCTCCAACATTGAGCTTGTATCGAGCATCATATGGTGGAAGTTTTGAGACAGACGTGTGTTTGCTTCATAGTCCCATCGCTACTTTGCCTCCCTAGTGAGATACTCATCCGGAATTTGAAATTTGATGACGCCTTATTATTTATTCCGTATCCGTACGACCGACCGCCTGCAGCGGAAAGCTGGAAATTATACATTCTGTTCCATGATTTGGCTTGTCACTTTGGAACCTTGCTCAGAGATTCTGGCCATCCTCTTGAATTTCGCTAGTCTGCTAAATATTTCCGTGAAAGTATGGCGGGGGTGCATTTGTGACTCCGGAGGTATTTAGGCCGTGGCTCCCGAACCGATGTATGGAGTTCAAAGCCAAGCATTGCGGTTGAGCTGCAGAATCTGGCAATGCTTGGGGGAAGCAGGTTGGCCGTGGTGTCCTCGTGTTCGGGGTCTGCTGATGGTTTCCTATTGGTCTTTTGGCGCTCCCCTGGGGTCATCTGATGGTTTCTTGGCGGTTTCTCCGTGGTCCCCTGGAGGTGGTAGTAGTCGTGGTGGCAGTGGCCGTCGCGATGGTCTTGCCGGTCGTGGAAGTGGCGTAGTCATAATCGCGGGGATTTTCCATGGCGGTTTGGGACCTACACTCGCATAATCTTTGAGAACACAGTATTTGAAAGATTGCATTTCTGTCATGTGCAGGGTGGAGAGTCATATTATTTGGAAGATTTCATGTGTAATGTGATGAATTGAATTACTTATCGATATTCGATTTAAAGCTTGAATGTTTTGAATTCTGAAAATATTTGTTGGTATTTTTACAGTGATAGTGGGTAAATTGTTCGACAATTAATGTATGAATAGTTTCTATTATATGCTCTATAATAATATGTAAAAATACGATAAATATGTCGAGAGGATAAAAGTTTTGACTTACTGGG